CGGGTTCGTCCTTCCATCCATCAATCTACATACCTGCCATTCGTTTAACCCACACAGCTATCAATTCATGCATCAGTTCAAATATCTACTTCTTGAAGATTATGACTATCCATTTACCCATATACTGAATCAAACTATCTACCTATGATGCCGCTAGTGAATTTGAAAACAAATGGCCCTATGGGCTGACGATGCATCAATATTTTCTGCCAACCTCAGTGGAAAAACAGAAACTCAAATAATCTTCGTTGCGCCAGTAGTTTGCCAGTACAGCGACCTTGCAGTTGAATACCTCCAGTAGAATCCGGATGGACAGCTATAGGAAGATCCTAAGCCTTCACAAGCTCTGATTAAACAGCTTGCTTTTCAAATATAAACTTGCGATAGCTATTACACTCTTGATTTTCAAACCCAATTCATACCTATGGATCACTATAATGACATGTAACGAGAACGGCTAGGTCAAGTACAAGACTTAAACGGCGACATGACTCCAACGGACACTGGAAACGCGACCACACAAGTAACAAATGTTCTTACCAGACGGTTGCTGCTGGTTTGTCGGCATAATGAGCTATCGCTGCGAATAAACCGGACCAGCTGAGCTCCAACTGCGCTCGCTTTTTCAGTGGTTCTGCCAAAAGCTGCCTATTGCAAGGGGAGTACCACGCGGCAGTGTCCGTTGAATGATCGTGCGGCGTTGTTACATCGTTTCCGGAGAAGAGAAGCAGCACTACGCGACTGAGCAGCTCGACGGTTTGATGGCGATGTCGGGTAAAGCGCAAAGCGGCACCTTTCAGCGGGATCCTCAGCATGTTTTCATGGAATTTCGAGCAGAGCCTTAGGCACAGTTGCTGCAAAGCGGAAACATGCACTGAAACAATGTTCGATCTCGCGCACCTTCGTATCATCACTGTTTCCCTCCTCACTGTCGACGAAACAAAGGTTCGGACAGCGAAGGCACAAACGAATGAGAAAAAATTCAACGATTTCTTCCTAGAATGTAACGGTATACAACGGTTGAAAGCAAGAGTCATTCAGAAAATGAACTTCTAGTTCTGAAGGAGCCACAAAATTGAGCATCGATAACAGCGAGGCGGCGATTCTTCTGCCTTCGCGCATGAAAAAACTCAGCGACTGAGGAGCACTGCTCCTCTGCAACAGGTTGAAACACTTAACTGCATAACCTCGATAGCGAGGAGCGTCAGATTCTCTGCAACTAAGGGGATGGAGCTACGCCGAACACGTACGCAATAAAATGAGTATGAATTTACCGAATACCAGCGTTCAACGCAACCACTTGCTCACTGATCTCTGCCGAAAGATCGAACAGCAGAAACGCTAAACCCAAAGCTTCGCATAGAGTTGACACTACCAATACACGATCAACGAATGGTTCATCTTTGTTGAGAATGTCGAACAGGCTGTTAGTTATATCTGAAATGTCACGAAAATTTCATAAGACCTCACAAATATATAAGACAGGGAAAAGTAACAGATATTAGTAATTCTTCAGGTTTCTGATTCTGAAGAAATGATTCTGGGCCAATAGTTAAATACATAGCTGTTTGAATGATTCATGGTTAGGGGCACAAAATACAGTAGATGGTAAAAAGTTTAAGGCCAACGCGTTTCAATACATAAGCCGCAGCACCATCAGGGCTGGATACAAATGATTGCTTGAAGACAGTTATATCCAACAAGCGAACAGAGCTTCGGTGCGCCCAAATTCGATGATTTTTCTAAGGAAATCCCTCAAGAATGACGCCGTTCCTGTTAATTTTGTCATCAAAAAGAAGCTTCAGCATTATGGAAATGCCATCATGTGCGAATGTTCAAAAAATCTGATGAAGAGCTGTTCAAATCGCGACAGTAGCATTAGCTTTGTGTCGCTCGCCTGTCTAACGCGGTTACTGAACAAGTAAGTGAACAAGACATCCATTTAATCGAAATTAATATTTGCATAGATTACTGGCAAGTATTTGACGTCTTTCGTACCTGTCAGCAAAGGAAACTAAAAGATCTGATTACAAGTTCCATGAAAATATCCAGTCAACGAATGTGGCCAGATCGGAATTTCCATGATAGCCTAGTGATGAATCTGAGCAACGTTATGTTTACGGAAACTGAACGAGACTTAACTGCATTGGCTTCCCGATTCACCACTGCCTATCCTACTGGTTCCACCTCTGATACTGTGGTTGGTGTAGAGAAATTAATCCTTCGCTTAAATGAAAGGCTGAAAAGTCTCCAAGAAGATATCATTTCCAGCGCTGACCTTATTTTCCGCAATAGCATCCATAAAGCTTGTCCTAATCAGGC